GAGCAATCTGGTCTGAGGCATGACCGGCTGTCCCAGGCGCTAGACTTCTTTAGACAGGCGGGACTCTTTAGTTGCAGTCACTCCAGGATGGCTCTCATTTCTGATTTTCATCTTTGGAGAATGACATCAGAGATATGGCCTGGCCTCACTCCCCTTCCCTCTTTGCTTTCCACGCACGCTGTGAGCAGGGGCTCTTCTTGGCAAAAACCAAATGTGCCCTCCTTGAGGAGTATTGGCATAAGTTGGCATAAGCTGGCAGAGGCTGACCTGGCGATATCTTGCCGTGTGAGGCAAAAAATCGTGTTTCTTTGCAGGGCAACAGTGACCCTTCAGTGGCTGAAATCATCTGCATCACTGAGCTGGAGAAAGTGCCTCGGTTTCCTGTGGAATCATGACTGTTGGCTCTTACGCACACCTGTTCATGTTGAGCAGATGATCACTGTGTTTTTTTCAGTTTTGGATACCCATTACCTAAACTGACAGAATGCGTTTAAAGACAAAGGCAAACTGACAAGTACCGTATACAGCAATCACACTATTAAACATTTGGCAATAACCAACGGAAACGTATGCAGAGCCTTGAATGCTGCTTGCAGCTTTCTTCCAAAATCTCATTGGCTCACTTTATAATCCCTTTAAGTCCATTAGCTGCAAACCACCTCCATCTTGCCCAGCTGTTTACACTGAGCCATCCTTTAGTTCATATCAGTTCTTACTTGAAATTGAAATTGTAAATATGTGCTTGTCACGCCAGTGGAACAGACTGTTGGAATATCAGTCTGTTGTTTGTTTATACCAGCCCTCAGTAGTATATGAAAAAAGGTTAATTTAATATAAAATAAAGATCTGTGAGGAAGTACTTCATCCATTGTATCTTTTTTTTTATTTTAGGGAAATAATGAATATGGAGACAACAGGCTATTTGATTATTGGTGCCTCTATCATTCCATTTTTATAAAAGCACTTGCAACAAACACTTCATCTTAAAATTCATATAAATAAAGACTTTGGCATTGAACATTTTTGGTACTTTTCTAGAAAGCAAAATAACTGGCATGTCCAAAACAAGATTACGAGTTGGAGCCAAATTGATTTTGCAAAACAAAGGTGCTAAGAAAGCCTAGATTTTGGTCATTCACTTCCTTTGATTAGCTGTCAGTGGCAGCTGACAGTTAAAAAAATTAAGATAACCGGAAATTTTTCAAAGCAAAAATGGTTTTTTTGCTTTTGAAAGTTTCTTTTTATTTTTCTTTTTTTTTTACTGTCAGAATCAGTTCCTGAAATCACACAAGTAGCTATAGGAGCTGCTCCACGTCTTCAGACATCTTTATGAACACCCCTTTAAAGGTTAAAAGGCTGCCAGACTGATATTATCCTTGGCACTTACTGTACATTCACAATTCTGTGAAGGTTTGTAAAATCAACATTGCATTAAAAGCACCTAGTGGTTTGGATTTGTGTTGATTGCTTATTTGTCATGGTGCAACTAGTCTTTCCCACAATACTCCCTATAGGCAAAGAAACAAACGTTCATACTTGTTGTTTTGCATTTCTGACTGCGCAATTGCCTCAGCTCTTGTACAACAAGCGAAAAGACTTTATCCTGAAAGCGAAAACTGGAAAGGTTTTGGTCGTCATCTATAAATTCAAATAAAGTGAGATACTAAATTGAAATACTGTGTATTATATTTTTGGCATGATGACGATGATTATTTTCCTCTGATTATTACTACTGTTGTTTTTGTTCTAGTCATATTTTGATATTTACTCTGCTTTAGAAGCAGGAGAAAATGCGTGTCTGCAACCTACAGCAGTGTTATATTATATTCTGTAGGCTTTTTTCGATTAAAGAGTAAAGAAACCTTCATGAGCCTTATTCTTAACTGCTACTGAATTCTAGGCCTCCGTATGCTAACACTCATTCTAACAGATACAGTGGATACAGGGGAGAGAACAGACCATCTCTGTCCTTCTCAGGCCGACGACTAAATTGTGGACGATTAGCTAAAGTGACAAAAATCACACCGATCGCTCTCTAACGACAGATATGTACAGTACGAGCGCCCAACTAGAAGTACTTTTCCGTTCCCCCCCCCAAAAAAAAACTAATTATGCAGGGTTCCCTAAGGGCACTTAATAATGCTTCACGGGCCTAAATTAAACTCCTAGTTTAGCTGGAGCGCTCACACTCTAATTAGCATTTAATATTATTTTTAATAAATATAACTCAGGTGCGCGTCTCCTTTCCCGACCCGATGCAGGAGTTTCGCTGATGGCCCTACTGCCACAGTCATCTGCAGCCACTGGAGCAGATGGCGTCCGCACCTCAGGCAGCCCGACAGTGAGATAATAAGAGGAATTACCTGGCACTACTTACTGTCAATGACTTCCCAGGATATTAGGCTGTTTTTTTTTATCACTGCTATCAAAACGACTCTTACCTTATTTATCACTGGACTCAAATATTTTAATGGAAATGAAATGTATCATTGTCGCCGCAACTTTTTAAAAACGGTTTCTCACAAAACATATCGGAATAGGCAAAGAGCAGCGGGCTCTGATTTCCTAGAATGCTTTGGCTGTATTGAAAGAATATTTGTGGTAATGTGGGCGACCGAACTGAAAGAGGACTGTATAAACCTCAAGTCGCAATTTTCGGAATTTCGGAATGTTCTCTTAGCGATCACTATTATTCCTAGCCCCGTGTAGTAACGTTACACATTCAGTCTTCAGCTGGGAAGCGCGCGTCTTTGCTCCGAACACATTCTGCAGTTTATCCTAATTGAATTGACAACGGCGAACAAACGTCTCAGCCAAGCACATCTATAAGCTTCACGTCCTGTACCGAAGAGCGAATTTAAAATGTGTTGAATGGCCATGTAACACGTACTGTATGGTGCATTTGGATTTCTCTTCGCTTTTGATTTGAATTGTAAAAATGTTATCTTTGTCATAGATACTTTCAAAAATTAGAACTGTACAAATTTTCGATGAATTACTGAAGTTAAACTAAATCTCAAATTTCACCCCAATACCATTTATATATAATATTATTTTTTTACATTTCACTAGACTAAATGTACAATATT